TTTTTACAGATAAAGAAACTAAGGCTTAGAGAAATTAATTATCTTGCTTAAGATCACACAGGTAGGAGGTGGCCCAGCCCAAGGTTTATCCTAAGCGACGCTAACAAGAGCTTGTGCTTTTAACCATTAGTGTTCCACTGACTACTAATGTTCTAGTAAGACCAAGACAGGAACAGCCCACCTATATCATTTATCTGTGATCTCCTGCATAGCCTCCAAAATACAGCAGATTTGTATTTGTTCAATGTATATTTATTCTCAATACGTCAGCCTCAGTCAGGTAACTATTATGATCCATAAGCATTTCCAGAGGTGCCAATTTAACTTATTTTTCTTTATGCTTTTATAATCATTGGCATACCTACATTTTTAAACATTTGGTGTAGAAAGTAATATTAGAATTCCAGATAGAAGCCAGAGGCGAAATGAATGAACAGCAGAGGTAGAGTTTAGTCCTCCAATATAAACAAGTGCTTTTATCTGAGGGTCAAGGCAGGAAAGTAACAATGCCAATGATACTGACACTGGACAAATAACGAAATGTGAAGTTAAACTCTGAAGCCTAAGGAAGTGTTAGATTTGAAATCACCGACACATCAAATAAAACAGATAATGAACAGTGTTCTGGACATCAAATCAGCGATAACTTTAGTCATAGGTGCCCTGACTAAGGAGGTGTAGACGAAAAAGGCTAAGAAAATCTAGTGTCTAATTCTGAATATAAAACAGAAGCCTAAGGTATCCCAGGGGGGTGGGGTGTGGGCCTATTTTCCCAGGGCCAAATCACCCCAAAGCAAATGGAAGGAGAAATGCCTTTCTACATATTTCCCGTCTTAGAATGTGCTTTTTAATTTTATTTTTAATTTTAAGAAGAAAAGAGGGTCAGTGTGAGGGTAAATCATGGCTATACATTCTAAAAGGTAAAACCAGATATCCTGAATTAGTGATATTAAAATAAAGAAACCAGGCTATCTCAACTGTAATGGAGATCACGTATCATAAAGAAAGACATAAAGGTCTATTAGTAGAATAGAATAGAATTAGCAGAATTTTAGTAGAACTCAGAAAATGGTAGATTAGTTTGGAGTCTGTCATTTCATCATATAGCCTAAATGCTTCCAAGATGAAATGAGCTTGCTAATGCTGTTTATTTCATGTACATGCCAATAATGCTACATATTGTTTATAAACAAACAAATAATTAAGTCACTATTAGGACTGTATCACTCAATAGTATTGGCACAGGCATTAGTAATTTCAGGTATAGATGTTCAAAATTCAACATACACAAAAATGTAGACAATATTCTAGGAAATGATTCCAAAAATGCTCTTAGAATAAAAAGAGAATATTTGTTTTTAAAAAAATGAATTATGATTTTTTTTAATATAGGCAGGATCTCACTCTGTCACCCAAACTCCAGTGCAGTGGCATGATCATGGCTTGCAGCCTCAACTTCCTGGGCTCCAGCAATCTTCCAACCTCAGTCTCCTGAGCAGCTAGGACTACAGGTACAGGGCACTACACCTGACTATTTTTTTTTTGGAAAGAGAGTCTCGATAGGTTGCCCGCACTGGTCTCAAACTCCTGGACTCAAGCAATCTCTTCCCTCCTCTCCCTCCCAAAGTGCTGGGATTACAGATGTAAGCTACCATATCTGGCCAAAAAGTATGTTCTTAGCTAAGTGGCTTTGAACCATTCCTATTTTTAAAAAGCATTATCAGGATGAATATTCATATTTTATTTACCAGGTATATGTAGTGTCTATTAAGCGTTAGGCACTGTACCAAGCATTTTACTCATTCAATTCATATAACAGCCCTACAATGTAAATATAGTTACTGTTATCATCCCCATTTCACTGATAAAGAAAGCAAAGCACAGAAGTAAACTGTAAGCCCAAGAGCTCACAGCTAACAAATAAAGTTTCCAATATTCAAGCCCAGCCATTCTCCCTCCTGTAACTATTACATGTATTTGTATATACTTGGAAGAGTACAGGGAAGTCTGAGAAGAACACAGAAGTGGAAGTATATGAAAATCAGTTGTGGGTCCTCATAAAAATGCCAATAGGTCTCAGTTTTCTTGAGATAGCTCCAGTTTATATCTATTGTTCCAGTGGAATTATCAATAGTATCCATTGTCATTCTCAACAGTGTCCAAGCTTGGACAATACATTGTAGGGTCAACCTGTTCAAAATGCCCCACTCCATTACCATGGGCAAGGCTCTTAAGCCTTGTTGTTCATAATTCCCCCATCTGTAAAATGAAAATGCTAATGTTTGTTCTCTTTCTGCCTCCCAAGGTGATAATATTGTGACATTATGTAGAAGAGTGTAAATGTAAGGTACAGTATTTTGGAGTGTTATATATGTCAGATAGTTGTAAAGGGAACTTCTACAACTGCTAAGCTGCCATCATGTAGAGCGCACAAAGGTACATGCTTTACCTTTGCTAACAAATTCATTTTTATCCTTACAAAACAAACATTTGTGATAGAAACCTAGGATAGAGTACAAACAAATCATTAAGTCACTATTAATCATTATTACTGAACCAGAAACTATTACAAGAAACTTGGAAAGGAAGCTTTGCTAATTTTATTATGTAACATCCACTTTATGGTTGACTCATTATTTCCACTTAAGCAAGAAAAATGAACAGAATTAAAAAGAATACACTGTTTTGTTATTTAAAATACAGTTTAAAAGGCTAGTACTGATAAGTAATTCATCAGATAGAAAAGCTGTAGATTCACTGTACAAAGGAAAAAGAACATTGAGACATTGCTGCTACAGTAATGAGCTGAAATTCAGGAAAAGCACCTACATATAGGGAATTAAAAGATGTAAGTTTTGTTAAGACTGTGTGTGTGTGTGTGTGTGTGTGTGTGTGTGTGTGTGTGTGTGTGAATCCCTTTTTGTTTTGGCTTTTCATTCTGGAAATTCACAAAAACAGGACAAGTCATAATATCCAAAATGGATAAAGATAATATGTTCTTTTTACCTTTTTGTATCTTTCCTCAGTTTTCAACCTTCTATTCCCTGATTTCCATCTACCTACTCCCCACACTCTAATTTCTGACATACTGCAATTCCATTACAACCTGTTACTTTCTTACTCCTCGTTATCAGCTAAGTGTACTCATCTCTTTATTGAAAATAAGGAAAAAAAACCTAAATATATTGTGTTTATTTTTGCTCTAAAATTTTGTCCCACTTTGCAAAAGCAGAATTTTGGTTACAACTCTCTTAACTGTAAAGTGAGAAGTTTCAATTAATGTTCAATTATGTACATTAGCAAAATGTACATAATGTACAGCTTAAATGTACATAATGCCTCATGAAATGCACAGTTTTGTAGATCATGCAGCAATATATCATGTGAATGGGAGAACTTAATAAATGCTTCAGACTGAAACAAGGATGGAGATTACAATGGTGTGGAACAATTCTACCTTACTTCGGAAAGCTGGGTGAAGGGATCATCATAACAACTAACCCTGCTTCATTTAAGCAATGAATCTCTGGTGAAACAGAGAAAAAGAAAGAATCAAGGAAGTAAAGGAAGAAAAGAAAAAAGGGAAAGAAGGAAAGGAGCAAGGAAAGGAAAGAAAACCTATTTGGTAAAAATGCCAGATTTGTAGCATTTACATAATTTATTTTTCCAGGGAAACTTGCTTTGTTAGTTATGAGAATCTGAAATACAAATACATACAAATTTGGCTTTCTAAAAAATCTTTTTTATCTTTACCTGTCATAGAGAGTGATTGTGAAAGTATTAACACATGATGTTGTGCAGTCAGGAGACCTACGTGTTAGCTTTAGTTCTACTTCTAATTAACTGCCCATGAGCAATCTAGTCATCTAATTTTTATAGGCCTGGACTTTGTCATGATTCCTAAAGCATCCCATAATAAAAAAAATAATGGAGAAGATTATAACTTTGAGCCTTTACAACTTTTTTAGCATTGTAAAATTGCCATACATTGACCAATTCTTTTCTATAGATAACCCAAGGTCTTTATAAAGTAAGATTTAAAACGGGGAAACATTTAATGAGTAAAATATTTTCCAGGTATATTTCCCACAAAGATAAGAAAATTGTTAGCATTGCATGTCAAAAACTAAATTGCAGCTTAAATGTATATAATGAATGTAAACTATTAAAATATTTTACAGTTACTCTTTATAACATCATAGTATTCCAAGAACCAGAGCTTCTGACTTTAAGTTGACCCATGCTTTCCATGAAGAACAGTTTCATACTTGTGAGAAAAAAAAACGTATAATTGCTGTAAAACAATAGTTTGTGAACACTACTTCAGACTTTCTAATCATGCTCGAGGGAACACAAGACCTCATTTCCTCTGAACTTCTACTACTTATGTTTTATGTTAAGAGGTTGCATTGGTTTGCAAAGGCATTAGTTAGCCAGAAAACTAGTCCCTTGAGCACTTGCTTCATTATTAAATGTAAAATAAGCCACTAAATAGCAGGATGAAGGCAACTTTCACATTTACCCAAATTACCTAATAAGCTTATGGAGAACAGGTGAGTATCATTCTATTCTAGAGTACAAAGTACATCCACTTGAAATATAGAAAACACAGCCTCTTCCAAACATGAAGGAATCTTTATACTCTTTGATTTCTCAGAACCAAAAATTTAGCAAGTACAGATACAAGTTATAATAAAGATACAACGAAGGCACTGCCTGCTTGGATTAAAGAGCACAGAAGAGAGAGTAATGGGGTTATTACCAACTCATTTCTCTCCAGGTCACCCAGTCCTTGTGGTAAGCCAGGGTCAACTCCACCTAGACAACCTCCCAGCACCACAACTCGGTTACATAAGGGATCACCAAATTGTGCTCAGTATTTTCGGCTAAATTCATGGCAATGAATCTCTTTCACACCTAGACAACAGTTTATCAATGACTGATAACATAATAGTATTCACAACAGAGGAATAGCCTTTTCGAACCAGCACTTATCTTACCTGTTACTTGGTTTTGAAGAGACTATAAAATATTGGAAGAACTTGTCTGGTTTCCTATTTTATGCCAAACCTTATTATATCACTCTAAAAAAGAGGAGGAAAAAAACTACTCATTTGTTGAATAGCAACAAAAAAAATTCATTTCAGAATGCCATAGGGCAAGTTATTGCAAAATACAGTGGAATAATACCTAGCCCAAGAATGAGAAAACATGAATTCTGCTTTTGAAACTTTTGAAAAATTATACCTTTTCTCAATGCCTCAATGTTTTCACATAAAGCAAAGAAGGTTTCTAAATTGAAGGTTTGAAGGTTTTTAAACTTTTGTTAGAATGAGAATTTTTTTTCAACAAAATTTACTAATGAATCTAACATGTTAAACTGATAAAATGACACTGCTGGATATAAAGGTGGGAGGAAACCCACATTATCACCAACCACCTTCCTGTCCTCTCCCCTCACCCCCGTCCAGACTGCAAACCACTAAGCTTGAGCATCTCTAAGATAGCTTCAGTGATTATGGATGGATGACAAGGAGAATAAATAAATCAGATGTTAGTTTTTAAATACTGATGCCGAGCTGTCTGAGGACCAGGAAAAGAGCTTAAGAGAAAAATAAAGGGGAAAGGCATTGATGGTCCACTCTCAGTGATTCTACCTTCTGGCTACTAGGGTCTTGTTTTAAAGAACCCCTTTTATTTTATTATCATCCCCTTCTAGTTTGAAAAGCGAAAGAGTCAAATAATAGAATGAATTAAAAAGAATACATTTATTTTAATAAATTCGTATTTCTCATCCATACCAGTTCACTCTTCTCTAAGGAGAGGCAAACTATGCTTAAGGTAGAGATTGCTACCATACATTTACTCTTGTGTTCATCATAATTTTATGTAAAGTATCCCTTAAAGAAATAACTAACTATAATCTTATTCAAAGATGGAATCCAACCTAAAACAAAATTAAGCCTGTTATTATAAGGTAGCATGAGACAATGCCAAGTTAAATTTGTAGACAGCTTACTATTTCTGCATTCATAAAAAACTTTTCTAATGGAAAACTAGTATAATTGATGAGCTGGAGTTTTAGACAAACTTGAGGACAAATTGTGAAATGGAAAAATTAACTGTTCATTCAATAAATTTTTTGTACCAATAATGATTCTGGCAATACTGTAGGTACAGGAAATATAGCCGTGAACAAATCAGACAAAAATCCTTGCCTTTATAAAGCTTATATTCTCATTTTCTTTTTATTTTATTTCTTCCTTTTTTCTTTCCTTCCTTCATGATTTTCTTTTCTATATTCACTTTATTCTAGAAAGGATTAAAGGTCATAGGGCAATACATTCCATAGAATAAAAAATTTAATCTATAGTTAACAGCCCTCCTTCCCCCCAAAAATATAACAGGCCCCATTTTAGGGCATAGACCACTGGTAAACACTAGCTATTTACACTGATCATTTTCACTGTCATACTCAGTGTAAAAGAAGGGAGAAGAGGCAATAAGCACAAAGGAGTAAGAATAAAGAGGGAGAAAAAAGAGAAAATGGGAAAGGAAGTAAGGAAAATCAGAAATTTAAAGTAGAGTGCTTTGGCAGAGACCACCAACTGTCCTCCTACATTAATTCTCCTCTTCCTTCCTTGTAATAATAGAATACTTCCCATTACCTCTTATTTATAGGCATAATTGCCTATCCCCAAACAACACTTCGCAGAGTCCTTTGGGGCTAAGTGTGGCCATATAACTAAGTTCCAGCCAATTACATATGAAAGAAAGGAAGTAATATAAGCAATTTCAGGTCATATCTGTATTAAGGAAGTGGCTGTCGCTCCTTTCTTATGACTATCCACTATCAACTGAGGCTAGGACAAGAATAGAGTTGTGGTAATCCACTTTTACTATCAGATGGGGGTCATATTTTACAGAAAGCAGGGAAAACAGAAGTAACATGAATTCCTTCACCTTATGGAATGAAAACTCCTCTATGCCTCCTTTCTCTTCTCAGTTACTGTATTTTAGGGTGTCTTTGATAAGGCAACTTAGATTATACCCTAATTAACATAAGTTTTTTCTACTTCGTTAATGACTAAAAGATAGAAACAAACAAAAAAATAGGAATAGACGTAAAGAAACAACGCTAATTAAGTGCCTCTGCCTCTGTTACAAGAGTTAGAATCTTCAGGGAGTTTTAACTCTACCTTGGTCAAGTTACACTAAGAAAGCTTCGTAAAATGATTCTGACAGTTTCCATGGACACTCCAAGTAGGTCAGATTTCAACAGTCCAAAATAAATTTCAGCAGGATGCTGAAATCATTCAACACAGTCACATTCTACCTATGGCTGGCTATCTGCCCGCTTCTTATTACACAGAACTTAAAAAACACCTTTTACAAACATCTCTACCTTGCTATTTTGCTTAGCAGAATGGATTTGCCATGGAATTTACTAAATATAAAATATTTCTAGTCCCTTTACTCTTTAATTCTATTCCTCATGACAATAAAATAGAGAGTGATAGGGTGAATTACAAGATGTATACACAAACTGGGCAAATACAGACCTTGGATACATATCAAATGAGTAAATAGTCAACAATTATATTTTATTATTAAGAATGCTTTCTTTCCCCAGAGACTTTACTCTAGTTTTTTTTTAAGAAAATACCATATACAATCATTGCAACTCATGCTTTGAAATAATAATGTTAGACGGGGAGTGGCAGCTTACGCTGGCAATCCCAGCACTTTGGGAGGCCAAGGCAGGCAAATCACCTGAGGTCAGGAGTCCGACACCAGCCTGGCCAACAGAGTGAAACCCACCTCTACTAAAAACAGAAAAATTAGCTGGGTATAGTGGCATTTACCTGTAATCTCAACTACGCAGGAGGCTGAGGCTGGAGAATCACTTGAACCCGGAGGTGGAGTGTTCAGTGAGCCAAGATTGCACCACTGCACTCCAGCCTGGGCAACAGAGCAAGACTCTGTATAAAAATTTTAAAAAAAAGGAAAAAGAAAATAAAGAAATAATGTTACACTTCTCCCTTATTTGTTATAACTAATTCTTCTTATATATTTGCTACTAAAATATTGAAAGCTATTTTTGAGTCTACCATTAAAAAGTATTTACAAATATTTGAATAATCCAGATAATTAAGCATTAAAAGTGGTAGAGAAAAATAGGCTAAAGATGGTGATGCAACAAAAATTTATGGCATGTCCTGACATTCCATTTTTCTTCAGGTTTTTATTTGTTTGCTTTTCCTTCTACGCACCATAATAAAACAGAGTTACAATCAATGTGTGATGACAAATGATCTCAGGGTTGGGTTTGCATTCTTCTAAATTTATTGGCATTTGCAAGCTGGAAAAGATAGATGTAATCAACCACCCTCAGACAAAAGTAGGATGACTATTTCTGGCAAAATGTTCAAACCACATTAAGCCCTGATTTGAAATGATGTTTGAAAGAAGGCAATGCAACTAGGAACAATTTATTTGTACAGCAACTAAAAACTGAACTTACTAGACATATTTAAGAGATGGAAGCAATTAAATGTGTTTGTTTTCTAAATAGACCAAGTATATTAGAAACTTTGAAGGTTAAAAAAAAAATCCCATTTTACTAGACTCGATCATTTGTTGCTGTGCAATACTTAAATCATTTTCCTTAACGGTCTTCTGAGGTTGTTCTAATAAAACATGCCATTATTAAGAGGGAATAAACAATCTGTTTAATTTCACATTATCAATATGTCATATAATTTTTTCTAGTTAGCAGCATGTAGAAGTATGAAATTACTGTGAGAAAGTGCGGGACAACCTTTTTTTGCTGGTATATATGATTCTTACAGAAAACAAATTCTTGTTGTTTACTCACTCAAATGTTTGTCAGACTCTTCTCCAAACTAGTGGTGCAGAGAGTCATTTTTATGGCGGGGGGAGTTGGTGGTTTTCATTCTTGTTTTTCAAAAGAGATGAATTTCGATATTTTCTCCTTGTATTCAAATCAAGTTTCTATGGTAGCCTGAGAAAATTCAGGTAAAATTACATCATCTGAGTCCTCATATACATACCTAGACACACATTTAGCATTTCAGCTAAAGATAACAATTGTTCTGGCTCCAAGGAGACTGAAATATTGTATTTGTATCCAGAATAATATCAGGCTCCAAATGTGGGATAGCCAGATGCCAGCATATTATCAAGTCTTTGGCTAATATATGTACCCTGACCACTCAATCAAAGAGAGTTTCTTTAAGACCAAGTCTCCTAGACGTTCTGGCATCTTTTCCCCAGGGCTATATTCTGACAAGCCTGGCTAAGAAAGGTGGCTCTTTATACACCATAATGAAGCCCAGGTCCAGGAGGACAGCACTGCCAAGGTCCCACCGAAGGTTGCCAAGAATTGATGCTACAGAGTATTGAAAACAGGACAGGGCCCTGTCAGTTCTCCTATTCCACACCACTAGTTTGCAGAAAAGTCTGTCAAATATTTGCATGCATAAACAACAACAGGAATTTGTTTTCTGTAAGGATCACACATACCAGTAAAAATACACGAGGACTGCCCCTGCATGCAACACACAGGAAAGACTGAGAGGAAAAGGAGAAAACTCTAATTTTTTAATCTCATTCCAGCATAACTCTGAAGAACTCAAGGGCTCTCCTAAGGGATTATTTACTTTATGCAAAAACACTAACAATTCAATATTGCTAACAGTGGTGGTTTCTCCTAGAAATCCATCTAGGGTCAGGAGAGTGTATTTGACTTTGATATGTGCCTCTTCAAGCTGCTGACAAAAGAATTAAAGAGATGCTGCTCCAAGAGAGGAGCAGCCTGAAAGATATCCACAAGGCTAAAATACTGGCGAGTCAACCAATGCGCGACCGAAACACCAACTTATTGAATTGCTTTATTTAAAACTAGTATAAAATTTCATATATAGCAAGTCTAAAGTATTTTAATGGAGCTAAAAACCAATGAATGTTTCAGGTCCTATAACTGTAATATTCAGCATTTGGACTGAAGTATTAAAGATTAAATGTTTCTTCTACTTAAAAACTACATTAAGAACAAAAATACAAATAATACATGTAATAAAAATACATTTTAAGGAAATTCACATTATAGATTTCTCTATGTAAAATAGAACTTGTACCAGGGAACAATCCTGCTCTAACAGAAAGGGTAAGAAAACTCAAAGAGTTTTAAAGTATTAGCTTTAATAAAAATAAAACTTACTGAGCAAGAATAGTCATAAAATTTAAATTACTCAGCAAACACTGAGTACATGTTATATGTAAGACACTGTAAACTTCAGTTTTAATAACACATAGCATATGTACAACAGCCTCTCAAGGTAAACTTGGTACTGCCTATACAGACCTATGTCCCACCCCAGGTAGATAATCTTTCACTGGCCTATACTCAGTTGGAATTTACAATTTACTACCTTACAATGCCTATATATTCACCTTGTGTGCATCTTACAACACTTAAGATACACTGGTACTGAAAAGCATATCTGACTTTCTCTAACTTCAGCATTACATTTTAAGTCCTTGGACATATTATTTAAAGTTCTTACTAGGCAGACCTTCCCAAACTAACCAGAACATATCCTTTTAATAAAAAATAATAGCTATGTTCTCAAAGTTTGTGATTAAAACCTACAGTGAAAGAATCCAGCTGAGAAGAAATTTCCTTTTGGTTCAAAAAAAATAATAATGTCATTAAATTTATCGGAACAATATGAAATGAAGATGTTGTTGGGTCCTTCTCTTATAATAGAAAACAAATATGCTTGCTGGCTTAGTTAAATCCACAAATTATTTGTCATATAACATTTCAACAACAATTTTAAACATATAAAAGTTAAGGTACCAAAGAAAATCCCACTATCAATGATAATCAAACTAAATAATTACACACTTTTTTGCATGTGATTTAATTGACCACACTTCAAAGAAAGCCACATAATCTCACTTGTTAAAATATTTCTTTTTCTTATTTTAAGCATGGCAGGACAGCTTTTCAAAACATAACTTGTAGTATTGGGTGCCATTCCAACTGCCAATTCAGATCCTTTGACATGGCAGCTCAGTTTGCTAATCTTGGCTTATACTTTTAAAAACAACTTACAACTTTATGCAGTAGCATTCTGCTTTTCTTATAGTTTATAGCTGAAAAAATGCACTCTTAATTACTCTTGATATTGACAAAGGGCACTGTGACTCACTTTATTTTTCAACGTAGAGCTAAAAGGTACATGAATCATCCTTTTGAAATTTGGAATGCAGGCAAAACAGTGGCTGTGAATGGAGTCTAAGTAAATAATTCCTCTCATCATCTGAACTTTTTTTCAGGGCATCACACTAGAAAAAGTTGTTTTCTTAGCAGTAGCCTATTGCCATAAAAAAAGAAATGGTGAAAAATTTATTCCCAGAGAACAGTTTATTTACCATAAGATGTGGCTCAGTAAAGTGTTTTGTACGCTGGAAATGTAAAGTTAATTCTTCCTGTCAAAGACTTAGGAAAACAGACACATTGTAAACACTTTTGTGTTTTAGAGCTGGCTCTCTTTATTTTAGAAGAGAGTTTTTTCTATATATTCCTTAAGTTGGCATTCTTAGGTGTGTAGATGTGTAGAAATAAGAATAAGTAATTTAATAGTACTCTGGTATGACAGATCTAACATAACATATACTAGAGTACATTTTCACTCTCCACATGGGAATACAAAGTGGGAGAGGGGGGAAGTATAGAAAATAAAATCCCAAGAGATGAAACTGATACTTCTCTATGAAGGATTTTAAGCTCCTTCAAACAGCGGGGTTAAGTCAATGCCAAGGCTCAATACTGCCATCTCCTTCCTAAGTGCAGAAATACATGAAGACATCTGAAGGTAAATGTACAGAATAACAAAGCAAAAAATAGTTACTGGATACATAAAATTTACCAAACATGTATAGTTCCTCTATGTTTGTCATTTTGGTAGGAAGTCCAATCATTAAAGATAGTTTATAAGTTTTATTAAATTAACAAATATTTTAAAACTACAAAATGATTCTTTTTTTTTTTGTATGGATTCCTCTCTCCCAAAAAGGGAAAATATATAACTATCTTGCTCATCCTATTGAAATTCCCTTTGTAAAAATTATAACAGTGAGAAAATTATGACAGTGAAAGAGATCTAATCTAACCAACCACCATCTTGCCTTTAACCTTCAAACTATACTTAGTCATTCCTGGGCATAGGCCAACCTAACTTTGGGAGAAATTTAATTTATAGTTTAAATGATAATAGCCCTTCCCAAAAACTAAACCACATTTGCAAAAGTAATGAAAGATCACCAAGTTAGGAGGATGGTAAGAGCCTGAATTATACTGAAGTATGGATATAACAGATTAGCAGCTTTTACTCCAGAGGTCACAATATTTGCAACTTTCCCAATTACTCCTGCAGATAACACTACTATTGTTAGAACCTAAAACTGGACTTTTGAGATGTGTTTTCAGGTTTTTGCATTTCTGACAACTGATGGCTCCACCTGGACTCACCAACCAGTCATGTGGCCCCACCTAAAAGTAGACTCAGCAAACAGGAGGACCATTTTCCATTGCCCTGTGATTGCACCCCGAAACAATCAGTAGCACCCATTCCCCAGCCACCCGCCTCCTCCTAACTATCTTTGAAAAACTCTAGCCTCCAAATTTTTGGTGAAGCTGATTTGAGTAATAAAAAAAACTCTGCTCTCCTGTTTAACTGGCTCTGCATATGTAAAGCTCTTTCTCTATTACAGTTCCCCTGTCTTGATAAATTGGCTCTATCTGGGCAGTGAGCAAGAAGAATCCATTGGGTGGTTATACTATTATTGATAACAGTCCAACTTATTCTTCTTATTTTAAAAGACATTTAAGGATTGAGACAAATACTAAGGAAGTAGATAAAACCAACCTTAAATTTAAGCAGAGTAATTCACTGGACTATCTTTACTTTAGGGTTTATATACTCAGTCCCGGACTCCCATGGTTTCCTCACATAGTAATTGATTCCTGAAAATCTACCATTACAATAATTTTTTTTTAAATTTAAGGTTTTGTCAGAGGCATTTGAGCCAGAGTGACTCCATCTTGAATACAGGCTGGGTGAAATAAGGTTGATACCTACTGGGCTGCATTCCCCAGAAGTTAGGCATTCTAAGTCACAGGATGAGATAGAAGGTCAGCACAACACACAAGCCACAAAGATCTTGCTCATAAAACAGGATGTAGCTAAGAAACTGGCCAAATCCCACCAAAACCAAGATGGTGATGGGAGTGACCTCTGGAAATCCTCACTGCTCATTATACACTAATTATAATGCATTGGCATGCTAAAAGACATTACCACTGGCACCATGATAGCTTATAAATGCCACGGCAACATCCAGAATTTACCCTATATGGCCTAAAAAGAAGAAGGAATTGCCTGTCCCTTTTCTCAGAAAACTCATAAATCCACCCCTTGTTTAGCACAGAATCAAGAAATAACTAGGCCGACATGGTGGCTCATGCCTGTAATCCCAGCACTTTGGGAGGCCAAGGCAGGTAGATCACTTGAGGTCAGGCGTTTGAGACCAGCCTGGCCAACATGGTAAAACCCTGTCTCTACTAAAAATACAAAAATTAGCCAGGCATGGTGGCGCAAGCCTGTAATCCCAGATACTCAGGGGGCTGAGGCAGGAGAATTGCTTGAAACCAGGAGGCAGAGGTTGCAGTGAGCTGAGATTGCACCACTACACTCCAGCCTGGGCATCAGAGCCAGACAGTGCCAAAAAAACAAAAGAAAAGAAAAGGAAAGAAAAGAAAGAAAGAAAGAAACTCTAACTATAATCAGCTGAGCAGCCCATGCCACTGCTCTATGAAGCAGCCATTATTTATTCCTTTACTTTCCTAATAAACTTGCTTTCACTTTATTCTATGGATTTGCCCCAAATTCTTTCTTGTGTAGGTCCAAGAACCATCTCTTGGGGTCTGGA